ATAAAGGAGTAGATAATGTGGTAACTAAATAAAGTGAAAGTGTAAGAGCAGCTCTGTAGTGTAAGGGTTTCTCACGGAGACAGCTCAGATCAACAAGAGGAGCTGAAGGAGAATCGGTGTCTGTATATTTATAAGGGACATCATTAGCTGTGTGGGATGAAAGAAACTTCCCCTTTTGTTCGATCAGAGGGGAAATCAAACAAAAGTCTTTCGATCTTCGCACACTTTAATATTTTTTCACTTCATGTTCTCGTTTACATGAAAACAACTGGCAGAGAAAACGCTCGTGTTCTGGGTGTTGTCTGCCCACTGGCGGTTTAACGGCTGCTCCCTTCTCCCAAGAATTCATTCGTGCTCTGTTGAGATCGAGGACAAAGTTTTTACAAAAGAAAAAAAAAAAAGAGGGACTGTTTTGTGATAATTCAGGCGCAGGGAAACTGAAAGAGTTTATTGTGGCTGAGCGACTGAAGGACACACGTGACATGTTTCAAACCTTGAATCTGATCTCACGCAGACAGATTTGAATCTCCGGTCCAGTTATTCATGGATAATATCAGCAAGCAGGATTTTTTATTTGCTCGACTCTGCTCAACTCTGCTGTTTGCTGTCGTCCTTGTGTTCGTGTCTGCAGGTGAGATTTAACTGTTGGAAACCAAACAGCCACCATAAGCAACATAAAGAAGAATAAAGAGTGTCAGAGTGGTTAGCATGTGTACAATATGGTTTAATGCAATATCAATAGATATAATACAGTAGTAGTTCATTGTTACGGAATGTTTTTGTTTTAAAGTGAATATGTGGTTTAATTGTTCATTAAATAAAGTTGACTTTAAACCCCCCCACTCATCATCAGGGCATGTTTCTGTGGAACCTGCAGGAAGTCAATTAAACATGTAAGCCCTAAGCAATAAGAAGACAAAGGTCTGTGGAGTCTTTCCAAAATGATCTGGTGCTGATATTAAAACGTCTCTGAGAAAACCATCAGCTTCCATTTACCACGAGCTCCTTATTCAATCTAAACAGACTAGCTCTTATGTAGTACTTTTCTACCTGAGCAGTCAAATCACTTCATACATGTCTCAATCAGCAGTGCTTTATGTCATATTTATTCACACTCCTGCTCTACCTCCTGAGCCACAGCCACTCTAATCTACAACTGTCATCAGAGTTTTAGACAATTCAAGCAGCAGGACTTTGACGTTAAACTGAGGTCAAAGTTCCCACAGATGATGAGAATTAACTCTTTGTGCTATCAAAATCTGAGATTTTTGGCTTTTCAAACATGCCCTCTGATGTCTTGGCAATCAAGAAAAAACACAGATGTACTTCACATCATTAAGAAAAAAATTAAGTCAAATGTCAAAGACAGTAAGCAGCATATTTGAAGTAAGTAATTATTTTTGTCAGTCCACTGATGTGGCACACTTGGTAGTGTCCACTAAATACTTCCCGAGTGTGCTCCTCTTTTGACTGTTCTCAACATCAGTAGTTAAAAAAAGTATTTTTGGTGTCTTGTCTGATTCTCAACAACTCACTTTGCTCTGTGTTGTTCCCTCTTTCAGACCAGAAAATCATCCCAGTTCAGTCTGGACATAGCATCAGTCTACCATGTCAAGCTCCAAATAATAAGGACTCCATCAGAGTTGTAATGTGGACTAAACCTGGCCTACAAGATGAAAATGTCTATTTGTATCGAGATTTGAATCTGAAGAGCAGATTTTTAAGAAGATGAAAAATGGAACTGCGTCTTTGATTCTGAGTCTTTGATGTGACGGCAGATGACTCGGGAGCATACCACTGCATACGAGTCCAGTTGGCAGCAACTCGAAGTAGCAGCAATCAAATCACCACCAATATCGAGCTGAGTGTTGTTCCTCCAGGTGAGTGAGTAGAGTTGAGTGTGTGTGTGATCAGAGGTGAAGCTGCTTCCTGGTTGTTGATGTTTGTTTCTAAAGATGTTGTTGATGAGACTTTGTAGAAAGCAGCTGGTCTGAGTGATGTGATCAGAGTGCAGTAGATAATGTCTGACAGCAGTTTGAAGAGGAAATGGATTCTGTTCTGTTCTTCACTCATCACCTACCTGACAGCTGAGACCTCACACCTGTTTCTCACCTGCAGGTCAGACAGGAGGACTCACAGAGGATGGATCTGTTGGACTGAAATTTGCTCTGTCTGTTTCTGCTGTGCTTCTTGTTGCTGCTCTTGTTGGTTTTATGATATACAAAAAAAAAGTAAATACAATGAAGGATTTTTATGAGACTCCA